AGTCCACAAGTCTTAAAGTGGCCAAGGTTGGAGACCCCTGGTGTAGACCTACACCTACTTTGATCAGAACAACTGTAGTAACAGTGCCTTGCAAGTCTGAATGAACTTGTGATGACCCAAGGGTGGGATACAAACTAAACCCAGTCACAGAAAACAGGCGAAGCCCCTTTTATTCCTTCACTTGGCTTCCAAGCTCTGAATATCCTTGACTGAAGACAAATTACTCCCACACAAGCAGTTACAAGGAGGAGGAAAAAAAGCAACACAAACCAGGCAAGATAAGGGCTGGAGGACAATCAAGGCCCTCTCCTCCCGAGTAGACCATGTCTCTCCTTTATCCTCTCCTCCCTGCGTGCCCTAGGACGGAGAGGGGATGGGCCTGGGTCCTCCTCTGACTGCCCACCCAGCCTCTGCCCTTCCCCAGCCTCCTCCACAGCCTCCGGAGCCACACCTCACCTCTCCTCCCTGTGTCGGCTGTTCCTCCTCTCCCTCAGAGTCAGTCTCCACCAGAGGCATGACAGAACTTCCCTTCGTCTGTCTTCATGAAAATTGGAGGGGGAGGCTGTCTGAGGCGTTTTTGTAATCCCCCTTTTTGGCCTGGGCTCAAGCCTCCTTTATTTCATCCTTTCCTTGCTGGTGGATCTTCCCTCCGTTCAAGGCCACCCCCTCTTATTCACTACAGGTGGCTTTTAAGGCAGATTTATCACAGGGTTCAACAAATCGTATTTAAACCAATACCTAAAGTTTGTCAAGTCTATTTGTTCAAATGCAGCAGAGGTGGGGAATTTGTGGCCCTCCAGTTATAGCCTAATCACAATGCCCAGAAACCACAGCCAGCATTGCTATTCTAGCAGTCCCTGGAAAGCTAACCCAATTCATAACTGCCCTTTTTCATCACATGCCCAATTGTGAAATTGCTTTTTGAAACCGATTAATCCATTAGTATGATTGTGTATCTCTGAATCATCGGGCATGACACTCTGTCTCCTCCACAGCCTATAGGCAGATGCAGCAGATCCTGCTGACACCAGTGAGAAAGCTGGGAACAAGCCCCGACCAGCAGGCACTGGACTCCTTCCTTTCCTCCCACCCCATCTGCTTTTTGGGGGGATTCTGAGCTGATCTATTGATCTTTCCCACTTCCTTTTTAAAGACTATCATGAACAGCTTTTCCAGAAGATTTCACGATCCCATTTGGGGGAAGCAGCCTCCGGGGTCCTTCTCATCTACTCCCAGAGCATACTCCACATTCTGGAGGTAGGTCAAGCAAATATTTAAGAGTATCAGAAGAAAATGAAAAACCCTTTAGCTGAATTGTGTAGTTTAGTTGAAATGCCGATAAAACCTACATCCAATTTAAGCATCAATCCATAATCAAACATACTGAGTATTACAGGCACAACGTAGTTTGGTCACCTGCAGAGTTAAGAAAATCCCTCACCAGAAGTTTCTGAAAACATCACTTCCAATACAGAATAGCAGAATTGAGTGGAAACACCTTCAGAACTTCATATCCTGATGCTCTTCCATTCTCCTCAGGCCTCCAGCGGCACCCTCTACCACATCCTCATGGACCTGGCCCTCTTTGAACATCAGGGAGCAGCGTAAGTCAAGCAAGTCCACCAGGGAGGAGAGCTGAGGGGAGGCCGGGGGGGGGGGGGGGCATCTCAGCCACAGGGCAGAGGGACTTCTGGAAGATGCCCAAGTCTCTCTACACAGTTGGAAAGTTGGAAAGTCTGAAGAATGGATGATGCCCTTGGCTGAAAGATTGCACCGAATGAACATGTATTTATATATATTTATCTGTGCTTTTATTATTACAAAATTGCAAGGTGAAAAGTAAAGTTTAAAAATACAGTTATAGTAAGTGAATTGCAAGGTACAAACTGATAAACAGAGCATCCCATAACCTCTTCACCAGTACTCACAGATGGTTGATGGCTTTAAAACAGCTAAAAGCAAAGCCAAAAAAAAAAACTAAACTAAGAGAAGCAGCAGCAGAAAGTAGAAGGCCCAGCAACACCAATGGAAAGAAAAGCCTTCCATCGCTCCCAGCATTTGGGTGTGTGAATAAGATAGGGAAGAACACTTCCTACTAGCACTGAGGATGTTACATAGCTTGGTAATGAAAAGTCTGCAACAAAACATCCAGGGAGAGCAGCAAAGACCCCACGATGGAGAAAATGTCACCTTATCTAAGGGGTGGGGAAGCTGTAGCCAATCAAAGGCCACCAATTTACAGTTCCTAGGCAATTTGAGTATCCTGGGTGGGCATTGGCATCTAGCAAATTCTGGAGGGCATCAGATTCCTCAACCCTATTTTCAGACACAGGTGAAAGCACACCTGGGAGGTTCAGCCAGGAGAGGAAGGTTATGAACTCCGTAAGACCTGTGGTGGGATCAGGAGCAGGCTTGGTCTGATTCACAGGGCGAGGATTTATGAGCAGAGAATTCAGAGAAATGTTTAGATTTCTCCCTTGACCTGGATAGCTCACATGACAACCTACTGAAGGTTCAACATCCAGTTGGAATAAAAACATCCTGCATCAAACCTGGAAGAGAAAGGGGGTTCGGTCGTCACTGGAAGGATCCTGTCTTGCGGAACTAGTTGTTAGGTTCTCTGAAAAAGTTCTACTTTCATACTGCCTTTCCCCAACTGCTGAGAAGCTTCTTGTAGATTGTTTCCACTTAGTTTTTATCCTGTTTTTATCTTGTTTTCACAATTATTGTAAACCACCTCAGGAGTTTTAGAACAGGAAGCGCTATATAAATACTTGGGAGGCAACCTCCCATGCCCCTGGGCAATGTAGTCAGTGCCTCTGATGTGACCCCTCATTGGTAGGTAGCTACAAGCCTTAAATATCTTGATTTTGATACAACATGGATGCAAGTGTGTGCACAATGTGTGTGCAGAGACCTATGGGTTTAATAGGGTTTCTTTCTCCCTTTTAGGGCTTTATTACGAGATATTAAGATAATGGTAATGTCTCACAACATCCCCACCAGACTTTTCTCACAGTGGAATGCCACCAAATTGGAAGTCCCTGTAACTTTGGAAGATGTTACCCAGAGCCAAACCACAGAAGAAGTTATTACTGAGTGTCTTACACTTATTCTCAAGATGGGAGTGTATCTTGCAACACTCAAGGTGAGAGCAGATCCCTTCATCTCTCTGGCATCAGGTTCATTTTCCCAGGACCAGCATCTGATCCAAAGTAGACTTGCCTGCACATAAGGATAATGCATTCCAACAGTGGATCTCCTTCATTTGGGACAAAGTTGGTAGAAATGTACATTTCTGTAGCCAGAAGATCTCTCCAGCTTTTTGCCAAGACTCTGAGATGGCATAAGTAGCACACCAAATCCTGATAATCAAGAAATTTGGCATTTCACTTGCTTACACCTCCCTGCTTTGGTCAAGATACTGAATGTCTCCTCCATTTCTTCAGAAGCCAGTTCTTTCCTGTGTTTTGGCTAGTTAACAGGCTTGCAGTTCCAATTTTGACATATTCTAAGTTAACAATGCCAACATGTAGGGAAGAACTTGGGGACATACATGAGATAGTGCCAAGGGCATGATGGGGACTCTGTTTTTAGTTTCTTACTTGTAATCGTTCTTAGGGGCTCTGATGCATTAATGTGATTTCATTTAAAAATATTGATTTTCTTGAAAGAGCCAGTATCCTGGTCATGGAGACACAGAATCTGGGTTCTCTTGTGTTTTGTTTACGGGCAGGATTATTTTAAAAAATAGGATCCCAGAAAATATATAGATGTTACCTAAGCTTAAGTCAATTCTGCACAATCCAAATTGGGAGCTTCCTTTCAGCTCCCAGTCCCTATGCTTCAATCTGTAAGTTTATTTTAGGCCGAGCTTTGAAAGGCCAGTCTTAAGAGCAGCATTGGATAAAACAGAAAAGCCTGACCAAGTAAGTCAAGGCACACACTCATTCCAGAACAAATGCCATGGGATTAAATCTGCTGTGCTTCCTTTCGCCTCTCAAGATGGGCAACAAAGACCTGAGCGAGTGCCTCCACACCGCTGTGCCGGAGCTGCTGATCCCAGCAGAAACGATCCAGTATTTGTGCAGGAGCCAAGAATGTCTGAGCCCGGCAGAATTTCTGAAGATGTACAAGAAGCCTTTGCAGCCACAAATGGATTCAGGTAGCTCTTCTGCCCAGAGGGGAGCCCCCCCAAGGTGGACCAGACAATCCCCAGCCCAAAAGGAAAGTCTCCCTCCTCGGCCAGGCTCCAAGGCAGCTCCTGGTCGACAGGAAGCTTCCACAGGGCTCCACTGGGACCAAGCAAGTCACCATTTTGCTAGAAAGCTGTAGATTCTACTTGAAACTGAAGACGTAGAGAGATAGATGGTTTATGCTTGGAAAGCTGGTGCTTTGCAGCTTAAGTGCAAGGGCCTCCAAAATAGGCAACTTTAAGGCCTGTGGACTTAAACTCCCAGAATTCTTTAGCCAGCCATTAAGAAAACCCACCCTGGGTGAGGAATTTTGGGAGTTGAAGTCCACAGGCCTTAAAGCTGCCAAGTTTGGAGGCCTCTATTTTAAACACAATTAGATGATCTTGGCAATATATTCCATTTATCCTTCCATCCCTGCCCCAGCTTGTTTTTAAGACCCCAACATCTTTCAGTTAAAATCGGGTGGGTGGATGGAGAAAAGGGAGCCTCCGAAGAAAATGTTCGATGCAAAGATCACGGCGTAAGAAAGGGACTTATTTTAATCGTTAACAAGGTTGCTCAATGAACAGTTACAAGAGATGCCCCTAAATTACATATGACCATTTCAAACTACGATGGCTGCGGGGGCCCAGTGGTCATCCGCCCTAATGACCCACCACAGGGCCACTGCAGCACCCACTGCCCTCCCCACCCCACCCCTCCGCTTGGGCCTCCTCCACACATGCTAATCACGCCCCACGTTATTTCTTCATGTTGGGGAAGGAGGGAGGGACAAAATGGCAGCAACTTCTGGAATTGTTCCCTCACAACCAGCTACAGGGATGCTGCAGGGCTTCTCTCCCCACCATCCCACCCCACCAGGACCATACAGTGCTTGGCCCTGTTCCCTCACACCTACCTTTTGAAGCTCTCCGGACTTCGTGCCATGGAAGGAAGGCAGCCCATGACATCCCTGGGCCACGAACATGGCAGCCATTTTGTGCTGCCTGCTTGTGGGCGGGGAAGAAAAATGGTGGCTGCCAGATAAATGGATCCCTTTGCTGCCTTAACAATGACGTCTCCACAGCTGTGTGAAAGCTTCTGAACAAGCATTGCGCCGACCTTGCAAAGG